TACCTTTTAGAAGGGTCAAAGCTTCTTGCACGTGGGTCCACATGATTTGGAGGAATAGGTGCAATCATGTCATAATGCTTTAATTTCTCAAACAAGCTTGCATAGGACTCTCCTATTGGTGTAAAATTATCTTTCAACTTTTGTTCCCCTCTACACCTCTGGCCTGGATGTGGGTTATAGGGTACCTGAAAATTTTGTGGAAGCTGGTGGAGATTTTGTGATGCTCGTGCTCGCCTTCTGGGGTGTTTTGATGGCTGGACAACATACTGATGTGGAGCAACAGAGTATTATGGGTTCTGAGGTGGATAACAATGCTCAGGGGAGTCATGAAAAACTTGATAAGGCTGCGAATACCTTCGAGGTGTTTTCCTGGGACCTCTTCTTGAACGTGTTGTCATCATGATTTCTTCATCCTTCTCAATCGTGCCATTGAAATTATCAGATTCAACATGGACAGCCTGAGTTGCGGCTTTAAGAACTGCTTGACTTGTAATTTTTCCTGTTTTAAGACCATTTTCTATCATTTCTCCCATTTTGATTGCTTCCGAGAAGGATTTGCCCACTGCGGACATCATGTTTTGAAAATTATCTGGCTCTTGAGCGTGAAGGAAGACAGTTATTAGTTCGTGGTTGTCCATGGGTGGCTTAACTCTAGCTGCTTGCTCTCTCCATTTAATGGCATATTCCCTGAAACTTTCAGTTGGTGTCTTCTTCAGGTTTGAAAGGGAAGTACGGTCTGGGGCAATGTTGATGTTGTATTGGAACTGTTTGACAAAGGCCTATGCCATGTCATCCCAGACATACCAGTGAGACGGGTCTTGATCCATAAACCATTCGGAGGCTACTCCTATAAGGCTTTCCCCAAAATAAGCCATCAACAATTCTTCATTTCTTCCCAAACCTCTCAATTGATTGCAATACCTTTTCAGGTGGGCTATGGGATCTCCATGTCCATCATATTTTTCAAATTTGGGAGTCTTGAAACCAGGCGGCAAATGGACATCGAGGAACATACATAGATCTTTGAAGGCAACACTCTTTTGACCTGCCAACTCTTGCATGTTTTTCAACCGTTGTTCTAAGCTTTTCACTCTTTGGGTCATTTCTTCCTGTACTATCTTTTGGGCAGGCTTTTCAATGTTTGCAGGAAGATCAAACGAGTACGAGTGGTACTCAGGAGAGTGGTACTGCTCTCGCTGTGTAGCAAATTGTGACTCACGACGAGGCTGTCCTTGACTACTGGCCCATGCTTGACACATTTCAGTCATTTGCTGTTTCAGTTTTCTATTTTTTTCAAACATAGTAGACTCTTGTTGAACCCTCTGACCCTGAATCTCTTGAGCAGTTGTAACAGCTTTGATGTCAGTTATCATTTGTCCTTGGATCTTGTGTTTCCAGCTTACCACAAACCGACCACTTCAACTTCCTTTGTAATTCAAAACAAAACATGTTAGAATGGACTCAATCGATCCTTATTATTATCTATATTTTTTATTTTGTTTTTCATTTTTCTTTTTTTCTTTTTTTCTCATTTTTCTTTTCAATGGTTGATCGAACCAGATGTGGGTTGCCTACGTATTATCTGGGAACATGAATCAGATCTTGCGTAGTTCGGGAAGATCATGAATAAAGTAAATAAACTAACTTTTTTTTTGGTTTTGAATTTTTCATTTTATTTTTTCGAAAGAAAGACTAATAAAGAGAATATTTTTGGGATTTTGATTTTTCTTTAAAATTTTGAAATTAAAGACTTCTAAAGAAAAGAGATATATTTTTTGAATATTGACCTCTTTTTTTTGGAATTTCGAAGAAAAACTTCTAAAGAAAAAGAAAATATTTTTGAATCTTGAATTTTCTTTTCAATTTTTGAAAGAAGAATGAAAATATTTTTGGATTTTGAGAAGAAATTAAAAGAAAATATTTTTGAATCTTGAATTTTCTTTTCAATTTTTGAAAGAAGAATGAAAATATTTTTGGATTTTGAGAAGAAATTAAAAGAAAATATTTTTGGATTTTGTTTTTTAAAAAATTGGGGTCTTAAAGAAAGACTTTCTTAAAGAAGGAAGTAAAGGAAAATATTTTTGAATTTTTTGAAAATGGTGGGCCAGAACCGATGAGGTTTGCCTACGTATCTCACATCCGGTGAGAATCAGACCCACGTAGTTCGCCCAGTTTTGACGGAACAAAAATTGACTTTATTTGATATGACTTATTTTTTTTCCCAGAATTTCGATAGAGTTTCAGAATTTTCTAAATACCTACCTCTCATTTTTTTTGGATTTTTCTCATTTTCTTTCCCTATTCTAGAAGTCGGTCAACATGCAAGCCAAAATAGATAAATACGCAAGTAGCACGTAAGATGCATCAGGATGGTCTTTTCATTTCGGGTACACCTGTCCTAGTCAGACCTAACCCCTGTGTTGAGTCTCCAAAGTTAAATGCACATGATGTAAACAAGCGTTCCTACTAGGGATCCGGCATGAAGCTGAGTTATTCTAGGTTCAAAACCTGGGCATTTGTTCTAGACTTGTGTACCCGAGCGGACAACTCGAGCCGAGGAGGGGGCTACGTACCGGGAACCAAAAGGCCATTCGGCTTAGTAACTTGTCCGAGCCTCTTTCTTATTTCAGGGTATGACACTAATAGAATAGGGAGTCTCGACCAGCGAGCACATTCCCGAAGATGAGAAGAGAAGAGTTTCGTAATAGTTTATATAAAATTCAAATAATATCAAAGCGGTAAAAGCATCACTTAGCATATTAGGCCCAAACATGTAACAAAGTCAAATAAAGCCAAATATAACAATTTATCTAAGCTCGAATTCTGAACCCTGAACCAGAGATTCTGGGTTCTAATCCCCAGTAGAGTCTCCAGAGCTGTCACACCTCCTTTTTACCACCCACACCCCGAGAAGGGTGATATAAAGAGTTTCTCCAATTAAAGTGACAATCGAAACAGGATTATTTTATTAAAAATTCAGAGTCGCCACTTAGGATAATTTATGGTGTCCCAAGTCACCGGTTCAAATCCCGAATCGAGGAAATATTAACTCTGTATTACAGTCTGCGAACACAGAAATTCGGGTAAGAAATTTTGTTAACCCGGGAGAAGGTGTTAGGCATTCCCGTATTCCGTGGTTCTAGCACGGTCGCTCAACTGTTATATTTGGCATGTTTACTTGATTTTAAAACATCTTTGATACCTATGTGCATTTTATTCCTTATAACCGCTTTAATTTAATATTTTTTTAGAAAGATTCAATGTCATCTAAAACACATCTTGAACCACGTCACATAAATGCACCTGAGATCTACGACATATTTTATTTAACGTTGTTGAGATTTGGATTTGAGTCACATAAATATGCACCTGAATTGATATTTACGTATCGTGACTATGCCACGGGAACCGTGCCCATAGTCACGACAATTTACTATTAATTGCCTAAAGCAAGCTACAATATTTTATTTTTCTTACTTTGAGATTATTGCGAACAAAATCTAAAATTATTTTTCAAACCAAAATAAAATATGAACAATATGCACGCCTACATTTTGTCAATTACGAACTCTGAATCTACACCAAAAAGCTCAAGGTTTAAATTGGACTCTATGAAGCTAAAGCAAACCTAGTCTATATATATTCTAAAGACGCGTAGGAATTGCATAGTTGGGGTTGAATTAGAATATACAAATAAACAATCATTTATCTGATTTTAATTTAAAAATAAAATTATATAATGATTAATATAATAATCTTAGTCAAAGAAAAAAGTTGTCAGTGTCTACGTCAAACAAAATGCAACAGAAGAGAAGTCTAAAAATAAAATGATTTTTATTTTCAAATACAATAACGAAACTATTAAACAAAACATAAAGCAAATTCCCTTTCGATTAATCCTAAAATCAATTCTCTCACAATCAAATTCAAACACGCAAAAAAAAAGAAACTGGACTATTAGAGGATTTCACTGAAAGCTAAAAAGAATGGAGTTGCGAGTCATTAGAGAGAGAATGAGATTACTTTTACTCGTCCCCGGTAGACGATTGCTGGAGAACTCAACAGAGAATTAATTGTAAGTGCTGCTTTGCTGCAGAGTGTAGAAAATCTCTATGGATTCAGAATTTTTAAACGAAGCTCGACAACGGAGCGTCGAACCGAAACCCGCCGGAGACCTCTTTTGAATTACAATCGTTTCAGAATCAATGAAGAAACTTAACGCCCAAATTAAAAAAAAAAACTCTTTAATTGAACGGACTGAACAACAAATCAAAAACCAGGACCTCGACCATAAGACCAGGGGGAACTGTTTTGAGGCTATTTTTGCAACTGGTAGCTTTAGGAATTAGGTTGTTGTAGCTAAAGCTTTTTGTGTATGGTGTCAACTACTGGAATTTTGAAGGAGGAGGAGGAATTCCCATGGGGAGTACGGTTGTCTCCTTTTTTGAAGTTCTGTGGCTGGCCTCTTTAGTGCAGTCTAGGTCTAGGAATTGAAAACTTAAGGGTAGGGTTTCTATAATTGGGTATTTATATGGAAGTGAGAAAGGATGATGGCCATTGGATTAGAAGGAAATAGATGGCTATGATTAAATCTTGCACTTAAATGGGCTAATAGGTTGGGAAGAATGGGCTAAGGGTAATTGGGTTGGATCATGTCTTTTTGTGCCTCAATTTTGGGCTAAGAAGACTCCAAAAATTATTATTCAAAACCATAGCTAAATTCCTTTAATATAAGATAACTATACTACATGATGCAAAAACAAATTCTAATTAATTAAACTAAATTATATTAAAACATGAAACTATTATATATTTTTTGTATTTTTCAAGATTATATAAAGATAAAAATAAGGTACTATTTTTGTATTATTTTTTTACTTTATGAAAGGTACATAAAATAAAATATTTTTGTAATTTTCATTTTCTTATAATAAAATAAAGTAAAAGAGTCAAATTAATTAAAATAGCTATATTAGGCCTAAATTAAATATTTACATGCTAAAATATAAAAAATCTTTGGGAAAGTCAAAAATCACATGTCTACAACCGATATACTCATTGTTATGGCGTCTTGCGTGTGCAATCACATCTCAACCATCTTCTTGCTATTCCTTTTTGATGTCGTCCTCACGTGGTCAGATTTCAGACGGTGTATTTATTTCTATAAATAGGGGAGTTTCTCATTTGAATGTAGTGTTTCCTAAATCTTTCATAATAGGATCTTAAAAACACTTGCTCTTCTCTCCCAGTTCATATTTCTTTTTTTCGCCGGCAATTCCTGTGACTATTACCCTTCTTTCTTTATATCCACGTTCTGTGTAATCATTTAAAGCAATGGCCAGTACTTTTTCTAACCCTGACCGAGTCATTGGCGCACTGATGCCGGAAAATGTTGTGCTTTCCCCAAAAAGGGAGCAAGTTTGGCGGAAGAGGAGAGTTTTCTGACAGTAGATGAGGTGGTTCCCCCGCCCGGGGAAGGCAAGGACAGACTTTAACAGCACCGCCAAAGATGAGCCGGAACCCGTGCATTCTATGATGGATGCTGCGACGCTCGTGGCATTCAAAGTCAAATGGAGAATCCTTGAGCATATCGAACTCGTTCCGGCGAGAGGCAATATAGTTCACATACACTGCCCAGGGTACTACGCGTACCCTTTTATTATTGGGTACACACTTCCCGTTCCCTCACTAGCAACAAACTTCTACCGCTTCTACGAGGTGTGCCCGGCCCAGCTCACCCCGTACATATACAAACTTTTCTTAATGCTCACCAAGTATGCAGAGTTGGACAACCGTGGGGTTTCCCTTCAACACTTGCTGCATATCTTCGTCCCCAGCTTTCATAGGGGCACTGTGCTACACCTTCGTCACCGAGGTACTAAGAGCCTGTTGATCGGAATGGACAATAAGACCAATCGCCGTTTCTGGGAGAGCTTCTTCTATGTCCGCATGGAATAAGTGGTAGGGTCTAACTTCACCGGGTTCCCTGAGACGTGAAATTTTGCCCGTAGGTCTTTCTTCCCTTTTCTCCTTTTTTTACAATGCTGATCGGTTGTTCTCAACTCATGATCTCGCTTATTGATTATTTTTTTTGTTGGTAGCCGAGAGGCTACCCTCTCCGCAAGTTAGCAATATTCACGGGTGGATGAGCTCGAATTTGCATCATACTGTGGGAATTCGCGCATGGGCACCCTTCCACGAGAGGTTTGGGCGTAAACCTTCCGCCGGTAAGTCACCTTGTCTTGGCCTTAGTCGTTTTACCCTTCGCCCTGTATTTTTCTTTGCCTTGTATTTAAATTTGGTCGTATATCATATTGATAGGTCAGAGATGGGTGAGAAGGGCGAGGGCTCGTGCTCTTGCTTTCCGTCAACTGGCTTCTCTTGCTAGGCCCTTACTTCAGGCAGCTATTGATGAGGGTACTCGGAATCGTACTATTTCACAGATCGAGCATGCATCCAACTTTGGTCGTACCGAGGTTATTCCTTTGTCAGAATCTCAGGCCCCCATTGTTCATTCGGCGGGCAAACCCTCTCATAGTGATGCCTTCGATCGATGAGCCCTTGAGGGCTGATCCTATTGGGGCGGTTTCTGAAAACGGGAGGGAGGTCGTCCTAGGAGTGGAAGCGTTGCTCGGGTCAGGCACGGATGGGGTCGTAGTGGCGTCAGGGCAAGGTTCGGTGGCTGCCATAATTATTCTGAGTGGACCCTCAACGTCTCAGCAGGCTCACACTTCTTCTCTAGCCAGTGAGAGGTTGAAGGGCGTGGTGGTGAACGACTATGAATCTGATTCGGACATTGATCCTGAGGATATGAGGTTGTTCGAAAAAAGCTTTACCAGGGTCGATATGAGAGCGGGTGGTCCTTCTCGTGTGCTCGAAATCTCGTCGAATTTTAATCTGTTGGAGAATACAGTGGATTTGGTGGAGCAATTCGACCTTTTATGTTCCGCCGTTGAAAGCAGGTTTCTTCGGGAGATTAGCGACTCTGGCTTGTCACGCGGTGTGGCTGGAATGGCCTTAAGGGTGAGTTTTTTTGTCTTTACTTCCTTTATTTTGTGTCCTTCATTTTCGTTGATTCTCTTTTTTTTTTGCTTCAGACTTACATGTTGGAGATTGAAAGTGCTTCACGGGCCGAGACGCGAGCCGAAGTCTTTCTGAAGATGATCGAGAAATATTGTCGGTATCGTAACAAATGTAGAGAGATGCATATGCAACTTAGAATGGGTTGTGATACTCGGTCTCTCAAGGAGGAGCTAGAGAAAAAGGATGAGTAACTGGTGCGGTCTATCCACAGATGTAGTGAGCTCGAAGGCCTGATTAGGGTTAAAGACGAGAAGCTCGAGGTGGGCAAGGGTGTCGCGGCAGAGTTCGAGGACCTTCAGGTGAAGGTGTCATCTTTGCGAGCTGAGCTCGAGCATAATGCCACCAAAGTTGCTTGTCTGAGTGATGAATGGACCGAAAAGGTAGCCGACTTAGAGAGGAAGGTGATAAAGTTAGAGAGGTCCAAAGAGGTACAGGTAGCGGCTGCGACGAGGGCAGCGACCCGTGAAGATACTATGTGCATCCTCAGATCCGAATGAGAGGCTGATAGGGAGACAACCACAATGAAGGAGGCAAGGCTTGAATAGCGGATCGGCGATCTTGAGCGGGATGCCATGGATCTAGGTGACAAAGTGGCGGCTCTTGAAGCTGAGAAGGCGCAGTTGTTGGCTCAGGCTGCCCCAGAATCCGCCTTTGTTGCTGTCCCTCGCCACTTGTATGAGATGTGGGTCCATGTTGAGGCCCAACGAGATATATATAAGGATTTGTGAGCGGCGGTAAATGTCACTGAGGCCGCTTTTGAGGATGCTCGCGTGAAGGCGCGCGAGATTTGCCTCTCCTGTGGCTATGATCCCGCAATACCGGAGGCTGATGAGGGTGCTAAAGTTGAAGACAGGCTCTCTTCTAATGATGATGGTCCTGGCAGGGATGATGGCGGAGATGCGGCAGAGTGAAGTTTTGTAGTCTTTTGGTACTTTGGTTTTTTTTGTTCTTTTCTTTGAGGTTGCTTGTTGTTATTGTTTTCTCTCTCTCCTCTTTTTTTGGGGTCCTGTTTTGGCCTCTTGTAAGACGTTGGGAGTATGTAAATTTTGAATAAGATTTTGCTTTTGGCTGTATGTCCATGCCTCTTGCTCCCCCCTCCCTCCTTTTTTTGAGAAAGAACTTCAGACTTTTTCGTGCTGGGTCCCTGTCTCACTTGGGAATTTGGTGGGATAGACCCTTATTATTCGGGTGAGATCGAATATAAAGTTATTCGAACGAGGTTAAATGTAAAGTAATTCGAGTGAGGTCGAAGGTCGAATATAAAATAATTCGAGCGAGGTCGAATGTCAAGTAATCCGAGCGAGGTCTAATGTAAAATAATTTGAGCGAGGTAGAATGTCAAGTAATTCGAGCGAGGTCGAATGTCAAGTAATTCGAGCGAGGTCGAACGTCAAGTAATTCGAGCAAGGTCGAATGTAAAATAATTTGAGCAAGGTCGAATGTTAAATAATTCGAGCGAGGTCGAATGTCAAGTAATCCGAGCGAGGTATAATGTAAAATAATTTGAGCAAGGTCGAATGTTAAATAATTCGAGCGAGGTCGAATGTCAAGTAATTCGAGTGAGGTCGAATGTAAAATAATTCGAGCGAGGTCAAATGTCAAGTAATTCGAGCAGGTCGAATGTAAATAATTCGAGCGAGGTCAAATGTCAAGTAATTCGAGCAGGTCGAATGTAAATAATTCGAGCGAGGTCGAATGTCAAATAATTCGAGCGAGGTCGAATGTAGAATAATTCAAGCGAGGTTGAACGTCAAATAATTCGAGCGAAGTCAAATTTCATTTTAGCGACTCGAGCGAGATCGAGTTTTACTTTGGCGACTCGAGCGAGGTCGAGTTTTATTTTGACGACTCGAGCGAGGTCGATTTTTATTTTGGCGACTCGAGATAGGCCGAGTTTTACTTTGGCGACTCGAGCGAGGTCGATTTTTATTTTGGTGACTCAAGCGAGGTCGAGTTTTATTTTGGAGACTCGAGCGAGGTCGAGTTTTATTTTGGGGACTCGAGCGAGGTCGAGTTTTATTTTGGGGACTCGAGCGAGGTCGAGTTTTATTTTGGCGACTCGAGCGAGGTCGAGTTTTACTTTGGCGACTTGAGCGAGGTCGAGTTTTATTTTGGCGAGTCGAGTGAGGTCGAGTTTTATTTTTGCGACTCGAGCGAGGTTGAGTTTATTTTGGTGACTCGAGCGAGGTCGAGTTTTATTTTGGTGACTCGAGCGAGGTCGAGTTTTTTTTTGCCTACTCGAGCGTGGTCGAGTTTTACTTTGGCGACTCGAGCTAGGTTGAGTTTTATTTTAGCAACTCGAGCATTGTCAAGTTTTATTTTGGCGACTCGAGCGAGGTCGAGTTTTATTTTGGAGACTCGAGCTAAGTCAAGTTTTACTATGGCGACTCGTGGAGTGGTGTAAGAATATCGCGTGCTACCTTTCTTTTTGTTGGAGAGTTCAATACGTTGCAGCTTATGTACGCATTGGGGTGAGTCCAAGTCTATATAGTCCCTTCAGCGCTCGGTCTAGAGAGGCCGTCAACAGGGCGGGTGATGAATTTGCTGCTTAGAGGTTCAGATGTGATTTGATGTGTATGGTCGGGTGAGTTGGTGTTGTATTGCCAAGGCGAGCACATGTGCAAGCTCTTAGTACCTACGTCCTATTTGCGTTGGGGCGTTTTGAGCTTGCCGCACAGTCCCCTGCTTATGGAGATTGTTTCTTAATGATGTTGGTTCGTTCTGGGCCGTTTGTCTATTATTTGCACTACGGTATGGTGTGGGGGGTTCTTCCCGGTNGGTCCTTGCTCTTCGTTTCTTTTTGGAAAAGAGGATAGTGAGTCAGAGGTATGAGGAATCATTCGTTACCTGGGTTGGATGGTTAGTTGATGAATGAGGGGGTTTGGTCACGTTTCCTTCATCGGTTGCAGTCTTTAGACCTGATGTTCGGCTTTACATCCGGCCTCGTCATTATTTGAGCTTGAGCGTTCCGTGGGTGGATGGCTTGCTCCTCCTGTTGGGACCTCAGTTTGAGTCTCGATTTGTTCCAGTCCTGGACGCGCCAAGGTAACAATAATATAAGTTATACCACAAACGCACAGACGAAGAGCATTTTAACAGTAAGTTATAAAACAAGCATCGTCCCATATAGTAAGAGGTGAAGGCGGTATGTGCGGGGTGCTAATCTGGAAGTGAGATTACGGGTGTGCTTGACGTGCAATAGTCACAACTCCACTACTATGGCTCACGCTCGAAATGCACCAGAGTTGCTGCCGTGGCGCAACGTAAGCCCGGCATATCTTCGGTTTCGTGTAAGGATTTATCCTTGGTTGGTTTGGTGGATCTAGAGGGAACTAAGGCTTTGGCTAGATAATTCTCACAGACGGCGCCAAATTGTTTTACTAAAAAAGTGTTAACCTTTTATTAAAACGAATGTATATGTAAAATAGGGGGTAACTCCTAGCCAAAGATAATCAATTCTAGAACAAAGAATGTTGAATAAGACAAATCGAAAATGGTGAAGTTTGCGAAATCATCGTGATTATAAAAGATGTTAAGTGAAAATAATGAGCTTGCATTCTCAATATTATCGCTCTGTAATGCTTGATAAAGGAGAATGAGAAAATGTATCATTAACAGCTACAGAGTGTATCTTTATTGATTTCATGATGAAGATTACAAAGATTTGGAACAAAACTGTGAACCCTCTCTCGGGTTTCCCATGGATCTCCTCAGAGAAAGTTCTAAAAGAAGAAGAAATTAAAGAATAAAAAAAAATCTCCCTCTCTATCACTCTCTTCTCCTGTATATATACTAGGCGTCGCTCTTTATCCAGCGGTCCTTAGCCAGGGTGCTTCAATCTGCTATTTATGCTTTAGGTCAACCTCCTTAGACGCCTCGCCGTATGCTTTGCCGTAGAGGCTTCCTGATGGTTCGACCTCATCTAGAGTCGAGATGCTCATTGTTACGGTGTCTTGTGTGCGCAATCACGGCTTAACCATCTTCTTGCCATTCCTTTTTGATGTTGTTCTCATGTGGTCAGATTTCGACCCATACAACCAATGCAAAAGTTGGCGACTCATAATCTGCAACGTACTAAGATACAAAATTATTATAAAGTAATAATTTATCAATTTAGAAATGAGAAAGATGTTGACATGCACCAATAAATTTATCATATAAGTGGATATTGGATTAATTTTGAGCGGATTATAATAGATTAATTAAAAGACAAGTCATGATCTTAATTCACTCAAAAATTATTCGAGTTGGTATGAGTAAATGGAAAAGACGTGGAAGCTTAGAACCAAGTCCATTTAAACTTATGATCAATTTTAGAAAAGAAAAATAATAATTCACGAAGTAACTCTACACCAACATCTTTCTGTCTCATTTTCTTTTTTCTTATTTTAGAGCTTTCAAACTCCAGCAAAAGTATTTGAAATTTTTCATTTATTGGGGCCAATTTGGATTTGTTATTTTCTTCTCCGAAAAGTTCTCGGACAATTTTTAGAATTTTATGTCTTTCTAATGTTTAATACTCATTTATAATGATTCACATAAGTCATTCTTGGCCTGATAAATGTGCCAAAATTTTATACCAATCATATTGCTTCCCTTTCTTTCTTGGAGATGCTAAGTTTTTGGGTTAGTGTTGGGGAGGGGGAGGAGTTGGTGATTACGTGGGATATACAATGTTATTTATGCGTTCACATGAACTTAATAATTTTTAGTATATTTTAAAAAAATTATTAAATATCTATAGATGTTGACTGTAAAATCAATTATTATCATATATTAATTTGAAATCATTATAAAATCGATAAACTTCAAATCCCGAATCCACGCCTGATCATCTATGATGTTTCTTTGAAGTTGTCTTGTATGGCCAACATGCCCAACACTATAATTAACGACGACGGACAAATTCTGAGCTAAACAGAAAAATTCGTGGCTTGTCCTATTTAGCGACTGATTAGCGACTGATTATTAAAAATTTATGTTACCTACGAGCGATTTAGTAATAGATCAGCAATGATGTTCGTAGCTAATTTCAATTTTTTTTTTTATAGTGATATAATCAGAATTATGGGCTTGGCCAAAATAGGAAGCATGTATGTGGGGTAGTTTAGTTCTGGCCAACTTCTCCCATAAGAAAACTCAGATTCTGGTGACAAGTGACTTAGTTAACAGAATTCCTTATAAAATAAGTCACTAATTAGTTAAGAGAAAAGCAATAAATCAGAGCTGAGAAAATCAAGAAAATCTGTGTACATAAAACTTTAAAAGAAAGGCAAAATTCAAAGGGTTGGTATCGTGGTAGTTGAAGAGAGTATTAAAGAAAGTTTTTGGGAGTACTTTTTCCTGCTTGTTCGGTAGACAAGGATAGGTCCTGTTGTCTTGTTTTGTCTGAGAATAATGTCCAAAAAAAAACACCAGCATTGAAATTCATGATATTGGATTTTGGTACAAAGAGATTGAGACATGGATGTGGAACATCCCATTGTCCTTTTGATTTTAGCTCTAACTTTCCTTGTCAAACCCAAAATCCATTAAGAATCGTGATGGCGCCTGACACCACTGTCAAGCAAGCCAACACCAAGAAGTTAATTAAATTCCAATTTTAGTATTTATTGAAATCATCTCTTTTATACATTAAATTATAAATAATAAAATTCACTGAATGAATAATGATGTCTTTAACAAACTTAATGTTGAATACTGCCATAATCATCCCAGAACCTGGTATAACAAATGCATGAGCAATTTCTAGGAAACAAGGTGTAATACAATAACTATCCGGAATACAAATTTGGACAGAAAGTAAATACAATACACTGAAAGAAACTATGCCGGCTGCGGGTCGCCTCTAGAGATGCAACTCACCTAAGTCTCCGTATCATCCATGCTACTACGCCCATTGGGCCGCTAGAGGTACATGTGCCTATGCAACAAAAATATACAGTAAGTGTAGCATGAGTACAAAAATAATGTGTACTCCATAAATATCCCGTCTAATCTCGAAGAAGTAGAGACGAGAAGTCGACTTCGACACTTACTAGTGGTCCAATAATAATATTCCAA